AGAAACATTAATTAATAAAGAAACACCAAATCTGTTAAGTGATAAAGAAAATCAGGTTGAAAAGAATGATCCTAAAGAATTTATTCATCATCAAAAATCTGCAAATATATAGCATGGTGATAGAATATACAATACTTGTAATAGTAGATGGAATGGAATTAGAGTTAAGAAAGAAGATCGGTACTTGGAAATTAGGCTTAAACATGCTAATAACCTGTTCGAAGAGAGAAACTGAGAAATTCAGCTACTATCATAAAGAAGCCTATAAAAATTAATGGAGATGAGTATAACAACAAAAATGAAGCAGGAAAACCGAGTGAATTAAGAATATACATCTCTTTGATGAAGCTGCGCTGATACCAAGATCTCGTAATGAAACTTGCTGAGTTGGAAATGAGGTTCTTGTTGGGCCAGTTGTACCAATAGATTTCAGAATAAAAGCTATAATGATGAAAGTTTTTATACTGAAATATGGTGAAAAGGAAATGTCACGTATTAGTGCAGCAATATCCATTGTAGCAGCAAGACAAAAAGATAATAATGTTAATAAAGGATATAGTCAAAAGGGAATTGATGCCGATGAACCTAAAGTATTCGACCATTATCAAAGAGTTGGTATAGACAGCACTGATGAAATTGGAGTAAAAATAAGGCATTTGTTGATTATCAAGAATTAGCTTACTATAAGTATGATGAAGTCGACGTCGAAAGGGATAAACATAAGTCATTCATCAATTATCGAAGCCCGAGAGAGTTAGAGAATATAAATAGTGCGAATATCAATAATCAAAAGGTAACTGGAGTTAGCAACAATGAAAATGATGCATTTGCACTATGTAATTGAGAAGAAGTTCATTATTAGAAAGATGGATTTGAAGAGCTGCTTATTAATTTAAATAAATCAATAGAAATTAAATAGAACATGAAAAGTATTGAAAATAGAAAAACATTGATAAAAAGTGGATTTGTTGAAAGGTTGGATAAATGCTTTGAGAGAACAGCGGAGTGAATTGAAAAAAGCATGAAGGTGACTAACAGAAATGAAAGAAAGAATATATGGGTGAATGGCGATGAAACTGAAGTTTTGTCTAAACTGAATGATGACAATGTAAGCCTAAAGGCTAAATTCATTAATAAAATATACAGTAAAGAAAAGCAAAATGAAATCGCTGTTAAAAAAGATGAAAACAAGGTACTTGCCCGGTGCTCGAATATTGATAAAGATAGTGCTTCAGGGAAACTAGCTTAGATGGTAGAGCTAAAGTTTGTTCTGACAGAATTGAAGTTGAAATGAATGTGGATACGAACTATAGGAAGAAGGATGTAGTCATGATAAAAGTGATAAAAAGAAAATTGGTGTTAAAGAAAGAACAGGAAATGTTAGATTTGATAGTAATAACCTGATGAAGGGTAACAAACCGATGAATTGTATGGTGTTGATAAAGTGTCGCACTAATCATCTCATGTAGTTGTCCAATTTAAGCTGTAGAATGAATAGAGTTGCCTTAGATGCTATGAGCATCAAAAATGTGTAGAAAAAAGATGAAGTCAAGAATCCAGTAACAATCCAAAGACAAATAGAGCAAAGCAATATCAGATTCTATGAACAACTCTACCTGGATCATATAATTGGCTGTGATGGATTAGAACATGTAATATTTGGGAGTTGTCTTGAAGTGCGAAAACTTGGACGAATAGATCTGAGGTTTTTGTGATATAAGTGAAATTGAAATATAAAATATTAGTATAAAGAAAAGAAAAGAAAAAAAAAAAAAAAAAAAAAGGATACTTGTCTTTGAATATGAAAGTTTCGAAGTGTTTGGTACATGTGGTATATGTGACATATATGCTAGTCGATGAAATTGACCGAAATTATGCGATAATTAGTAATAGGTACCAAAGTAAGACTTAGTTAAGCAATGGTCGTAATAAGAGTACCGAAATAAGATGAAATTATGAATAGTCGGTAGTATGGATGAAAATACCGAAGTAAGAAATAAATTATGAAAAAAAAACAATTTTTAGTGTTAGTATAATTTGTATTAGTATAGTTTGTATAAGTAAATTAGAATGTTTATATAATTACATTGGTGGAAACTTTGGGGACAAAGTTCTTGGGGTTCTAATCTACAATTAGGCTTTTAAATATATTTTGTATAGTTAGTTATCTGTGTACTATCTATGACAATTCTATAGATGGTACACAGATATCCAACTATATATAAAAGCCTAATTGTAAATTTTCTTTTGATAGTATTCATATAATCAAACAACACCTACCAAAAATATAATTAAGAAGGCTATTTGTTAAATTATAAAATACTACAAAGAAATATAGAAGATTTGATAAAAGCTCAAAAGCACAATTTTGGTTCTTTAAATTTATTCATATAAACAAATAAATATACTATTATTAGTATTGTTTAGAAGTGCAATGGTAATATTAGGTGCAATTTAGCTCTAATAGTAAACTCAAACAGGTTATTTGTATTGGTTATTAAGACTTGAGCATCTAAACTGAGAAAGTAGATTCTAAATTAGTTCTAATTTAGATTATATATATAATTTAAGTAGTAATGAAAAGAGTAATTTAAAAATAGTATCAGTTAATAATAAGGATTAGAAAACAATAGAATAGAGCTATACCAGAGAAAGAAATTGTTAGATATGAAATAATAAAATAGTTTATAGGTAACAATAGAAACTATCAGATTAATAGATTATAATTTAGTAACAATTTGGAGTAGTTTTAAAGTAACAATAATACAACTAATAAGAAAATAAAAAATATTTAAACAATATCATTCACAACTATATATAAATAAGTAAGAATTTGATTCTTATTTTATATTTTTTAAAAATATCGAAGTTTGAAAAAACTTTATTAATATAAACTACAAGCCTTTAAATGTATTTTCTATTTTATACAACTGCATTTCCTTTAACTTTACAATAATTTTAGATTACTTTGTCTTCTCACATGGACTGGCACAATGATTGAGAGAAATTTTTCTATCTTTAATCCCTATATAATATCAGAAACTAAGCACACAACAATTGTGAGCTAAGCAAATATTGATTGTAAGCTAATTGTAGCTTATAATATCTAATCTATAGATCTATCACTTGATATATAACTTACAAATAAACAAATAATAAAACAAATACAATAAAATAAGAAAAATAAACAATAAAATATTTTATTTAATTGATAATCCATTTGTTATCTGAAGGGAATCTGCAAAATTTTATAAGTAAAGTTTACTATTAACAGAAATTAGACAAGCTTATATCTAAAACTTTTTGTTTTACTAAGAAAATAAAATTTGTTAATTAATTAAAAGTTGTAGAGCTCATCAAGATGCATCTAATGGTAGTAAGAGAATCAAAATCAGCCTAGTGGTTCTTGAGATATCTTTAAAAAACATCTTGTATATATATAAAATTTTTTTAAAAAAAGTTTTATTTTTTAAAGAAATATTATATATATGAAAATGTTTTTTAAAGATATCTCAAGAACCACTAGGTTAATTTTGATGCTCTTATCACTATTAGATGCAACTTGATAAGCTCTACAACTTTTAATTAATTGACAAAATTAATTGTCTTAGTAAAAAAAAGTTTTTTTTTAATTTGGCAGTCTTGCCTCTATAGTTTATTAGATTTTATACTTAGGTAATTTTTGGTTACAAATGTCATGAGTACAGTTACAACTATCTAATGTATATACAGTATTAGCTTACTTAGTTACTAACTTAAGTACCTATATGCGACCTGCTATATGAGATTTTACCTCCTTATCAACCATCCCACACCAGGCTGGTTTCAAACTCACTAGATAGTTTCCAAACCCAAATCTATTTTTATCATATATATCCCACATATATACTACTGTACAATATCCACTGACTAACTTTCACCCTCATTATTTATCGCATTACTCCTAATTCAGGTCTTGTATTACTTTCAAATTGGTGTCTTTTGAGTGGGTGCTCTTCATGCTTCTAGTTTGGTATCTCTGGGGAGCTACTTTAAGGGCCTAGCCATATTTTAACAGTTGCCTGTGCCAAACTAGGATATTATTTCATGTTGATCCAGATATTTGCATTATACACCACCAAATTAGACTACCACTTCTTTTATAGTACTCCCAATTAGTATAGTGTTATAGAAGTCTAAATCTTTAGGATGGGAGTTATGTATCTCATTTAATCACTATCACAAACCAGTGACCCAGAATCCACATTTCTGCCATATTTTGTCATTGACTTCTATATAAATTGTGCAACACATTACTTTCTGGCTGTCTTTATTTTCATACCACCAGATAGGGTTCCTACAAACCCAAATCAAATTAAACTTTAGGCCAAGTTTGGGTTTGGTTTGATTTCAAATCAAACCCGATCTCAAACTAGCATTTAAAAAAATTATTTGAGTTTGATTTGAAGCAAACCTTTTGGTTAAATTTGAGTTTGATTTGGGTTTGAGTTTGAAGTTTGCAAACTAGTTTGAGTTTGAATAATATAAATATATTTT